GAAAGAATGAGATGACGTGGGCAATAGAGGAAAGTAAAAACCTGGGACGCTCTACAACTGCGAATGGATGTCATCCGGGGGTAAACGAGTTTGCAGGAGTGAACTGAACTTTGAGAGGTGAGACAGAGCTAGTACAAACCGTACGGCGCGCACCTTTAACCTATACAACATCTTAAAGGCGGTCTGCGAAGAACTACAGCGATGTTGTCCGAGTATTTCAAGTTGCGAAACTTGATTCTCGGAAGCATCTGGACGCGACTATTAGGACGAAGTGTCTAGAGAACAAAGACCATAACAGTGAATAATGAGCATTCGCAACCACGATCGACATCCTTGGAGACAATGAAGGGCGGGTAGATCACCAGCTGCGTGAATACGATCTGGGCTGGAGACTAGTGACGTAGATCCTGACTACGGTCCATCGCAACAGAAGATCGCAAAGAGTAGCCAACTCGGGGAAAGGCGGCGTGTTTGTCTAGAAAGATGACGACAAGTTATCATGCGAAGGCTTGACGATGGTCGTGCTTGGTGACTTGTAACGACGTGGGCTAGGCAATGCTTCGACATAAGGTGGATCCAGCTTCAATTAACGTATGCCATCTCGCATTTATGACTAAGCCACCTAAAGAGGCGGAAGATGAGTACTTTGGATGTAATTCAAAAAAAGATAGATTTAACAAGGATAACAGGTCGGTTACCCCTTGGAAACAAGGAAGCATCGAAACAGGCTAGATTTTGCAGTATAGAAACTCCGAAGCAACTTTGTGAGTTACCCTATTTCAAAAAGCAAAGCGCATTAAAAACTAAAACCATAGATGGGAGGGAAGCTTCCACATACCTAGGGGAACCGTGAAGACCCGAAGAGAAACTCGACGGTGGGAGCAATCAGTTGGACAATGTTTACCACTTGCAACCGTCGTTCACGCAATTGAGTTCCCAAATCGCAGTAAATAATGCATAGGGACTTCGTTACATCTACTTTCATTGAGAACGAGGACTACCTTGATGATCAAGAAGCTGAGCCCAGTTGCTCATGTTTTCATCTAATGCATTGAACTAACATAATATGTGAAGATCTGAGACATCGAAAGGCACCACAAATTCTAGAAATAAATAAATAAAATTGCACCTTTACCGACAAGTGATACACGGCTCCACAAGCGAGAATGATCAATTGTACACTGAATAGGTTTCATGGTTTAGACGATATAAATTTTATAATAGGAAAAAAATGTTAAATAACAGAATTGGATCATGAACGTTCCCTCGAATCCGACTTGATCATGTAATACGTACGATGTACCGATATGTGGAACACTAGCTTGTGCAGCTCAGGAGTATATAAAAAAGAAGGGATTATAGGTTACGCAGACACGTTTAGTTTCGTGGGGAATGAGATGGAGAGGGTAAGATGGTTGTAAGCAACTAGCTGTTCATATGCTATTTATACCAACTTTCATTCGTGTTTCTAGAGATTTTTATGAGCCGAAGATCCATAACACATTTGATATAGTGAGAAAAGTCTGTAGGCAATTGCAAAATGTGCTAACGTTTGCTGTCATACGTATCTCTAAAGTTAGTTTATTCCACAGATGGGTGCATCTCACTAAAAAGAAATTCGATCGAGTTTAATGGCTTGAAAGCTTTGAAGGTAGCAAGTTGTCACAAGTGCGTGTGGGGTAGATTGCAGTCTTCCGCAGGTCAAGTGCGGTGCTGTCTGCGTAAATTCGTACGTTAATAATCTTGAAGACGAGGAGGTTTTTAGCTAAGGGTCTCAGCCAAACGGGATCCATTTGGAGTTGTCGACAGCGATCATAATAAGTCAAGTTTGAGCAGCGCTCCATGACCACCTTATTAAATGATCGTTGGACATTTGTCAGAGCTGTTCTGTCTTTCTTAATTGGCCGTGAACGATAGTACAGTATTCCAGAGTTGGTCGTACAATTATTTTGAATGACTCAAGTCGTGCTTCGCGCAGGAAGAAGTTTCGGTGTATCCGCATAGCTGCCTTGCTTTCGCAACCTGATAAAGCACATTATCGGAGAAATTGAAAGAGTTGGAGAATTTAATTCCTAAGTCCCGAATTCAACCAGACGTTGGGATCACGTTTCCGGCAAGGGTGGTTTAGCGTTCCGCAATGCGGCATCTGTACCCAGATGGTTGGGATTTTACTCCAGAGAACTTCATGAACAAAGGTTCACTAGCTATATTCAGTGCGGATAGGTCATCACAGATGCTTCCTAGGCACATTTGTAGTTGGTCTGGATGAAATGAGCAGACCAGTTTGACGTTAACTGCAAACGGAAATGGGCATCAGTGTTTGATCGGGTCGCATATGTTGTGTAAGTAGATTGGAAAAAGTGGTGGTCCGAGTACACTTTCAGGTAAGACGCCGCTGATTATTTGTTTTGACGTAGAGTACTACGGACCGATGTTAACTAGCTGGGTTCGATCGATTAGGTATGAGTCGAACCAGTTTAGCAGAGGGTTACAAGGCAGGACGGGGGCGTGGTGCTTTAGACATTTGATTGGTGGCCTCAAGGCCCAGGTCATAAACAAGAAAACGGACACGCACTTTGCTCAAGGGGTGTTCTCACAGTTGGTCAACTGTAACCAATCTATTTATGTCTGTCGATTTGACGGGTCAGGTTACCTACAACAAAACAGGAGGCTTGAGCGGACGGCTGCATTTTAGATTATACTCTTTAGGATGATAGTGATGTTGCGCTGGCGAAGACCCCGAGCTCCACCCCAGGTCAATTTATCGCATTTTTTCCAGTTAAGTCCCGTCACCCAAAAAAGATTATGAAAAGGGAGGATATGGAACTTGAACTTTTACTCTCTATTGAAGAGGGTGAAAGTGAGACAAGCCATTAATAATTTGCATGAAAAGGTCCATTTTTCGGTGCCTTTGCCTCCAAACGAACTCACACAGGTAGCTGTCCATTAAAGATCGATGTGTGCCGCATTGGCGCTTATTCTGCAACTTGTAAATGTGCCAGAGAGATTCGATGGTTTGTGTGTAAGCTCCAGTCGTTGGATCCACAAAGTTTTCGGTATGATTAACCGTTTGATGAGTATAACTCATGCCAATCACCGATTTAATGCCTTGGTATGATGCCCACATATCGGAAATGATGATTGAGCCGGGAGCGATGCAGGCCTGGATTGTGTCCAGCAGAGTGGCCGAATTCGATCTGTTACTGCATACAAGAACACTTCTTTAGTCTCCCGGCAAATCCCTCCGAAAATCCACTGCTGGGGAAGGACTCGTCCTGCATGGTTTTTACGACGTGATATTAGGGTTTCATCGATCTTGACATGTAGACCTGGGCCGCCGACAATCGTTGGAGTCTGCAAAAGCTGCCAGGCGCAAATTTCACGCAGGAAGTTCTTCCAGTCGACAGCGGTCGCGTGGCCAATAGATAACTCCTCTGAGCAGAACTTGATTGTTGTCAGATTCTTGGACCAGCAATAAATGAATAGGATTATTGTCCTGAAATCCATCCTAGACCGCTCTAGCCAAGTTCCCTTTCGAAGATCGATTTCTTGCCGACACTGTTGGGCATCACACCTCCACCTGTCAGAAACAGTTGAAAGTGTCATTTGGTGTCCTCGTCTGCATAAACGTTGATGATGAATCACCCCATGGCTTTGCAAAAAACGTATTACTGTTTCCTTGTCATGAACGACCGCCGAAAGCGTCAGAAAGTTCATGTCAGGTTTTACGTGCGAACGTAGAAACTTTTTGGACAAAAATGACCTTAGAAGCGGATAAGGAGTGTTTTTATGGGGCACGTTCACATGCATTACGTACACTGGAGCTGGCAAACAGTGGCGGGGCTCAACTTTTCACGCGTGCCCTTTCTGCACTATTGGTGGGGCTTGACTTTTCAGATGTACCCTTTTTGCCTTAGTGGCGGGGATTAACTGGAAGAGATCTAATCTATCTCCATCTGATGAGTCCAAACGAGGACGAAACCGTCAGTCGTGGGGTGTCCGTGTTAGAAGGAGCAACGCCGAATCACTTCTAATTCGGATAAGGTCCTTATGATTGGAATGACCAAGGTCTACTTCATAGGGAACCGAGGTCTCGATAGAGATTGTTTGTCGCAATCCAACCCCATAGCGGGTACTCCAAATACAACTTTGAATCACTCAGGATTCTGGATTGTGTGGTAACAAGAAAGAGGCTAACGATGAGGAAACGTGGAAGATGGAGTGGTTATCGTCCAGCCTGATAAACTGTACTACAAACATTAATATAGTACCCAGTTGAGCGCACAAGGAATGAATGTAAAATCGATACATTAGTTTAGTGCAATCAAACAAGTACGATACAGATAAAACGTCCAGGAGTAAATGAGAGAAAGCAATCGGAGTGGAATGTAAAGGGGGACCAAATGAGTCACAGACGCTGCGACGGCGCTGCTTCACAATTAAGCAATGCGCGACGGCAATTTCGAACAAAATAAGTGAAACATCAGAAGCGCATTAAAAAGAACACGAATTGCAGACTGTCGCCAATTTATTTCAGATCGCGTTATCAAATGTCATCCGCGCATCACAGCGCCGGGGAATAGATTAGTTGGACCCACGCAGTCAACATAGTAATAATAATATCTCAAAGTAAATGAGCAAAAAATGACTACAGGCTAAAGTGATGAACTAATGCGCACAATTCATGCACGGATACCAAGAGGAAAATCTCCGGACAATCAAGCAGCTTCAGAAACATTCAGCGGGTCGCGCCGCACAAAAGTACATGCGTAAACGCTGGAACAGACAGCTGAAAAAATCGCAGGGGCAGAGGAAAATCGATGAGATATTGCACGTCCGCGTCACAGAGTCGGAAAACAAGACGGAGTCAGGTAGGTGCAACATGGAGGATGGGGATTAAAAACGATCAACAGAGCTCATCGTTAGATGCAAAATAAACGAAACGTGATCGAAGTAACTCAAAAAAGAGCCCGAAAAGTACACGGAGAGAAAGAACTCACGCGTTTGTCGATTTCATTGTGTTGCAGTTGAACAAATCGGGCACTGATCGCTGCGATGTAGCTTTGTTGGTTGGAGAACGCCACTCGGCCAGCGCCTTTGGGATATTTCAATTCGGGATCGGTGTCGATGCCTGCATAACACACACCGCTGTACAATCGATCCATGATGAGCGCCAATTCGACTGCAGAGAGAGAGAGAGAGATGGGAGAGCAACACACACACACACGGTTGAAGTGGCGTGTCATCAACGCGCGACCAAAAAGCACATCGGGTGGAAACAACCTCGGTGTGTCCAGTATCAAGAACCGATAGTCAAAACTCGCCTAGCTTTTAGCCACTAAGTGAATACGAGTCTGGAAGACGAGTAAGCAATTGTAAAGCATCGGTGCCCTAATATGACGGTAAGCAAAATCGGTGAAAAAGGAATTTGTGACACAATGATGATTGGTGAAAGGCGAAACAAATGATGATTCAGCTTAGTTCGTCAACTATGAATGAGAAACGCAAGCAAGGAAGATCGAGTTGCCAAGTTTTATGAAGATAAAAACAAGAATGCGAACAGTGGGACAAACCAATGAGAAAAGGAAAAATGGAAAGACAAGTAATGAGTCTTCTTAGAACAAAAACATCCTGCTAACGGACTGGTAGTTGTACATGAGATCCGAGGGTGGTTCGTTCGCTTTGTTTCGTGTCTCCATGACAACAATGACTAACAATAGCAGGGAAAATGAAGTAGAGCGTGGGAGAGCTTACAAAAGAAGGAGATTAAGAAACTGGAAGGAGACTGCGATAGAAAGTCCAGAGCTAGATGTCAGATACCAAACGTAGGGTCACCAATGACATATCTGATAAGGTTTCTATCAACTGTGTGTGGCCGACGTAAAAGACCATAATTTAGAGGAACATGTAACAGCTCGGTAAAATCTTGCGTAAAATCATGCGTTTCCACACAACATAGACTAGTTAATCATCATCATCATCATACCCGTTAGCTAGAGGTAGGGAACACCTCAGCTACTGTGCCGCAAAGTGAGATTCATAGTATTGCGTGGGCAGGATACTGTCAGGTTGCCCAGGCCTAGACAGGAGAACTATCAGGGTTTTCAACCAAAGCCTTTGGTTCAAAAACCTGTCCGCAAGGTAGTGGGTTTGGCACTGGGCTACAAGGAGTCCGATTTAAGGAATAAGGAGCCACCCTCATTCCAACCCCCAAACTGGAGGATCAGGAGGCTGAGTTTGTCTGGCCTCTAACTATTGACCAATCTGGTACGAGTGACTCTGAAGGTGCAAAAATGCACCACCCAGTATAGCTCAACGGCTCACTGAGGCACACAAACCATCACACCACGGCAAGGTCCAGCCTCGTTGCGATGGAGACTAGTTAACCAGCGGTAGCGCAATGTTAGGTCCCCCGAAGTAGGCGACCATCGGTCATGCGAAGGACGCAGCCAAACCGATGTGAAGTCCAACTTTAATAGATAAGCCATTGCCGTACCAGAGAGTCCCTCCACAAGCGCCTATTGACGCAGTTCACTTTAACCAACCCGATGATCATAGGTGACCAGTCCCTTAGCTCTTGATTCCCTGCATAACACAGAGTTGTGAACGCTAAACTTGATCGACAAGCCGATATGCCACTACTTTCGTGAATGATGGAAAGAGAAGAAAGTAATACGGAGTTCACAAACACATGAGGTAACGTTGGAAAGCATATAACCATAAGAGTCCACAATGCAATTAGCTTTCTGGTGGTAAGTAAACTGGTGACTCGTCGACCTAATCATTGGATAGCACCTGGGGTAGACTGAAGCTGAAAAAGATATGCCGAAACGTAGAACGGCCCTGCCCTAATCCAACCGGAAGCGTTTGTGAGAAATGTGAGTCCCACAGAGAGAAAACCATGTCTACAAAACGATCTAAGCTTGTGAGCTGGGCACTTGAAGGAACTTCCATGTCCGACTCACATATGACCATTTCGATCAAAAAATCGAAGAGGAAAGGGCGTAAAGGGCGAGTATAGTGTATCTGCTTGCCGTTGGAAATTCGGGAGACATTGGCAATGGTCCCAAACCAATAATGATAATATGAGTAAAAAACGAAGAGAAGCAAAAAAGTATCAAATCGTCAGATGGAATAATCAAGGGTCAGAAATGAGGGACCGAGCACAAAAGCGCCACTGATGTCGTGATCGTGTCAAACCTGTTCAGGTGTCCAACTATTGATGTGCGCGGTTCCGAGGATGCCATTCGGGAAGACAACAAGCCCCACAAAGAGAGTGCGTAAAAATATTTGAACATAAAGTAATTTTCCGGGTATACTCTTCAAGGACAGGTAGTACAAGTTGATAGGAATGACCCAATTGAAAGTAAAACATTAAGTCCCCTACAGCCATTTCATCAAAGCAGAAAGAAGATATAGATTGCGATATATCAGCATTCCGATTGTTCTCATCAGTCGCATACATAATACAAGCAGAAACATGTATATATATATATATATATGGGAAAAATTGGCACACCAATTAAATTGTAAAAATCAAGACCAAGGCAATCTGATTGGTTATCTCATGAGCTTCTATACACATAGCATAGGTTCATAAGCTCTAAGTAACAACGCTTCACTGGTTGTCAACATTATCGGACTCCTGTTACGTAGTAACACCTTAAACGCATTATTCGGCTTCACTTGGTGACCAGTTGTCAAGACGGGCTTGGCGATAGATGATGACAGACTCCGATTCATTCTGCACGGCGGTACGTTCTGTTGCACCATCATTTGTACAACCCAGTTTGGCAAGTGCTCAGCCACTCTCTGAACCAACCGACGGTTAGTCTTGCCTAGGTAAACATCATCGCAACTGCGGGTGAAGTGAGAAACCACATGAAGCCGAACTAGCCGAAGAGTAGCTCCGACGGTCTTGAAGAACCAGTTTCCAGGTATTGTGCATGAGGCGCAACTGGGCAGTCGTGTACGTGTGCGTTAGGGCGGACCTGAGCTAGTGTCCGATATCATTTGCCACATGGTCCCCCTTGGACGGCAAAATCAAATAGACAGCTTTTTGCTCTGCCGTTTGAACCGGCAGTTTCTTCTTGTGGGGTCTGCTGTGCAGTTGGATGAACCTCTCGATTCGATAGTAAGGTCCTATACAGAAACTTTGTTTTAGCTTCCAGCAATTCCGGACTACAAATTCGTCTGGTCCTGGAGAAGAGCATTTTCAATAGGCCGCGTTTGTATGCAACCGGGGTGAAACTGGAAAAGTGAAGGTACTGCCCACTCGAGGGCGTTTTGCGGTAGACGGTGCGCTGTAGTGTATCTCCATCCCGTCTTTGGATGAGGATATCCAAATATGGCAGGCAGCCATGTTGTTCTAAGTCGTGGGACACAGATAAGTTGGGGTGAATTGAATCCAGAGTGGTTAACAGTCCTGCAAAATGTTCGCTGCTGGTGAATACCAAAATGTCGCACACATACCGTGTGTACAGTTTCGTCTCACTAATACTGGTAGCAAGTTGTCTCAATCAAGCCAAGAAAGATATGTGCCAAAACCGGTCGAAATGGGCTGCGCATGGCGACCCCGTCAATCGGCTTGTATGCCGTCCCATCAAACTAAAACCGTGCATTTTCTGCGCAAAGTAGAATCATACATCGCAAATATTCCACAGGGAGGCCTACATACATGTTTTGGCTCAGGATGAAACGGGCACATTTGTGAATAGTCCACGTCGATAGAGTACATGAACTCCGAGCCGAGTGAGGGTTGGTATAGCGACTCCGGCAGTCCAAAAATGTTTTTCAAGCAGTGGGTAGTCAGGCGTTTAGGTACGGGACGTAAGAGTTTCGCCAGCCACCGAGTAAGAACATTATGATAGAACCGAGTTGTTCATGCACATAATCGGAGGCAGTGGGTTACATGGCTTGTGTAACTTGGGAGCGCCTCTCATTCTCGGTGTCTGCGTCGCAGTTGGTTTCAGCTGCAATCAGTCAAGCATTGCTAATTAAAGCTAATCATCCTTTGTCATGTGCACAGAAACTCTTGGGGTAATCAATCAGACTGTCTTGGTCTTGATTTTGACAGTTTAATTGGTGTGTCAACTTTTCCCCATATATATATATATATATATATATATATATATATATATATATCGGTGTTTCTGCTTGTATTGTGTATGCAACTGATGAGAACAATCGAGATGTTGACATATCGCAATCAAAGTCCGTTCTGTTTTGACCGATTGAAAGTGACTTTTAAATAAAGAGAAGTTACCATTGCGGCCGATTGGCTGGACGAACAACCTCCTAGTGGTGCCAGCTGGGCGGTTCGAAATTTCCCCGTTTCAGCAAATGATTCCGCGGCAGTGTTCCAGGACGTGGTAGGTTTTCGCTGGGCGAATATTATCCCTATAAAAAGCCACATATGTCCGTTTAACAACTCTGTGAGGTTGCGGATGTGATTCGCCACTAAATAAAGTCACTGCCCCTTGCTTCATCTTACCGAAGCACTGTATTACAGCAACTTTATGCTGTAATTCTGGAGAACATTGAGCCCCTGCTTAACAAACGAACAAAAGAAAGGCGTCTGAACTGAGCAATCAGTCACCGGCTCCCAATAAGCGCGATTCTCTGAATTCGTTCCGCTGCCTTGCGGGCAGGCCATACGGCCATAGGCTCAGATGGTGTCCCTTAAGTCAACCCTATCTCTGCTTGGTCAACCGGGTAGTATCTCGCCCTTTGACGAAACCATGGGCTTTTATGTGTCGTGCAGTTTTCTTTTACTATTTCTGTAACTTCTTTGGAGTCCCATGGTTTCTGATGGCTCTAAGTCTATTCGTAGACGGATCCGGATTCGGATTTGCCTGTCACTGTGGCCAGCCACAGGACGCCTGCGCCTACAGAGGGACCACGGGTTGCTTGCGCTGCACCACCCACAGCTCCATCCACACACCCCATATCCAGTGTTAACCCGAAGGAATAAGACCAGGAGGCATGCGGATGGGAGCCACGTTACATCAACGGAGTCGGCACACACTCCTTCACAGGCAAACACAAGCACGCTGTATTTGGGAAATCAAGCGCACACAAGGCGGTGGCTGGACCGTAGTCCGCTCCACATCGAGTGCATGGAACCACTCTTCGAGCCTAGCACGGCCACAAGGACCGTGCACCCCGTCCCCTCCAGCAACG